TGCCGTGCAATTTTTCGAGTGACGGGTCATCTGGGCAAACTATTGGTTGGCCAACGAACTATTGAATGGTGCGGGTAAAATAAATAAATTAAAACAAAAAAAACTTTGCTCAGGACATTAAAAAAATATTTTTAAGAAAAAATAGTATAGAAATATAGGCAACTTACATATATTTTCTTGGTTCTATCTTGCCAATGGTGTCTGTTCCCTGCCATGATGTCCACCCTACTCTTTGTGTACAACCCCAATTATTGCGTTCGCGCCCGACGCCATTGTCTACGGCCTTTGAATTTTACGCGAGCGCAAGAAGACCAGTGCCCTCCTTGGCTCGCCACGAGCGTCATTTTCACTTGAGTATTAAAAATGGCGGAATCCGACGAAAGTAAGCCGTCTTTATGACGATTACATTGTTTTCAGATATTCCCTTGAAAGATCGATATGAATCACTAAAGTTGCTCTGCCGCGAGCAGGTTTTAGTACGATAACTTCTGTTTGATTTTGTGTATTTTTCAAGGCAAACGAACTTCTAAAAGACGAAATAGAACGACTCAGGAAGTGTTTTGAAGAAGTATCAAAGCATAGAACGTACGTTACAGCATATTCATTTAATTCTGCTGTTAGGTTCCTCTTAGAGAAATTGCTTTCATACAAACACGAGTCATCTGCTGCCGGGGACACGGCTCCCTGTAGGTAAGGACAGCGGTGCTATTAAACGTATTTCGTAGACCAGAACAGCTATCGCGGACTGCATCATCTGAACGGCGTCCTTCGGTTTCCCAGGTTCATCTTCTCAAATTGCTCACACTTTTTCTCATAGCACTTAGCGTCCCCGGCCCCATCTACCTCCTCACGACGCAATAAAGGTACGTATTCCTAGCTAACCATTTGGATACTTGGAACGATTTCTTTCGTGTTTTTCAACCAACCCTGTTTGACAGATTTTGCAGTTCATTATGTTCCATGCCATTACTTCTTTGCATTACCTTATTGCAACCGTTCTCCGTCCTTAGGCAATCATAGTGAATTATTGTCCCTGGACGGTTCTGACGCGGACAATGATTCTTGGGTGAGTGTCCTATGCTGTTACTTTATTACAATTTTGCATCCGCCCTGCTTTGCCCAAGGGCTACGCCGCAATAGTTCCTCTTAAAATGCCCAATTTCCTTGCTCACTATTCAATTACAGACGAATTGTTTGTTTTGGATTCATTGCTAAAAATGCAGACGGCTTTCCGTATATCTCAGTTGGTTTGACGCTTGATTGTAAAGGACAACGGGTTAGTAAACAAGTTTTCTGCTTATGTATACCTATCGCTTTTCAAGATTGGTGTTCAGTTCGTATTTGCGTTTTTAAGCAAAATGGGAGCACTATCTGAAACTGAAAAAAACATTCCTCGATGTCCGTCCGATCCATCAAAAGCATGTGTGTATCCTGTCTTTCTTTACCCAACTAGCACGGCGATTATGACAACGGATGGGATGAAACTCATCGCATTTCCAACTACAGGCGACCCATAAAGCGGCATCCAAAGCCACTGTCTGCTCCCAAGGCAGGTCGTCAACCCGACAACGGTAGTTGTACGCCGCAAGCCTTTAAAAAACCTCGGATGAGTGCAGGCATATCATCAGTTTCAAGAGACTACTATCCAGCAACTAGCAATCTTTCCAATCGACCTGGAGATGACTTCTGCGAAGAGCCGCCTATAATATACTCTTCAGCAAGAAGCAAACCTAGTGCTCATCCACCAATGTCCGATTTACCAATCGAGTTTCGTTCGCAGCCCTCTACAGCTGCGTCTGCTCCACCCCTGCAGGCCAAGGGCCGACAGGGCGATTTAGTCGGTGCGAGACCCCTTTCAAAGATGACTAGTCATTCACCAAAAACGGCGGCTATTCTTACGTCGCCAAATGCCGTGCATGTGTCGCCAGGAAATTCTGCTGCTCGTTTATTTATTCAGAAGCCAGGCTACCTTGGACAACGCATGCACTAAGTAAGTAGCCAGAACCGATTCTCGGTAGATTTTTCTTGCATGTGTCCGCTGATTAACTTGCTGTCAGTATATGAAGCGGCTCTCTTTCTCCTCGATTCAGCCAACTAGATCTCCCGCCCGTCTACCGGTCCGCATTTGTACAGTACCCGACTTCGGACCGCCCCAATTCCTCTTTTTATGAATTTTAACGGACGCCCCTTACGATCTGCCCTTTCTCATATACAGGAATTTGTGTATATTCCTGTATCCTTACGCACCCACTCCTATTGTAAATGCGCCACATTGCTGTCAGACCACTTGCTAAGATTTTATGGTGTTTTTTGTTTTGCCTCCCAATTACACCAGAGTGAATTTGTTTAAACAACTTGCCTATCAAGTCACTTGGTCGGCATCGTCTTGCCGTGGGGTTTTTCGTTACTGCTTGCACTTTAATTGCGATACTACCCATGATTTACATGAGACGCTTGTGTAGTTTTATCTCCTCTTTTTACTTTGTTGTGATGTTTTCTCTCCCGTTTGATACTGTATGTAGAAGGGGAATTTAGTTTGGTCGTTATACTCTAATGTTCAATTAGCGGCTCCCCTAGTAGCTGTATGGTAAACATCCTTGAACTAATCCTATGGTTACCCGGGAACTTCTAGAGTCATTTGCCTCGCCCGTCATCCCCACTAGTCCGCACATTTCTTCCGCCGAGCTCTTGGTTACCTTACATTAACCGCCATGACCACTGTGAGCAGTTATAAGTGATAGTAAACGGCTCAAACCACACATACATGCTATCGCAGCCGCAATTACATTCCAGAGCGTTTCTAAAAGCCACACAAGAGTTCGAAATTAACAGATTTCTCTTCGGTCAAACCGTGAGCAACTGTCACGATGACGTATCCGTTCGCCTTATGTAACCGGCAAACTTTGGGCTATTCCCTGTCTTGCTTTAGCGGTTGCCCATTGTTTCGGATTTACCAGGATGCCAACTGATTTACCTTTATGTTGATGACATCGGCCTCTCA